AATCAAGGTGGAATTAAACGGAACAACGGGACTATTTTTTGAGCGAGTGATTATTTCAAGAAGTTTAGCACTTATTCGAAAGCTCTAATCCTCTAGTTTCTAATTAGCCTTAGACATCTGCAAAATGTTGAGTATGAAGAAAGTTATTAACGTTTGAATGTCGAAAACTCGCGCCTTCTCAAAAATCGGACCCCAAACCACCCAAGAACGGAACAACGGGACTATTTTTTGAAAAAATGATCGCTGGAAAATTTTCAGGTGCTTGTTCGAAAGCTCTAATCTTCTAGTTTCTAATTAGCCTTAGACATTTGCAAAAAGTTGATTATGAAGAAAGTTATGAATGTTTGAATGTCAAAAACTCGCGTGTGCACAGAAAACGGAACAACGGGACGATTTTTTGAAATATTGAACATCCACAACATTTCAAATACTCCTCAGGAAGAAAACTATTTATATTTTCAAAATTTTGGTGTCCGATTTCATGAAACAGCTTCTGAAAGAAAATATAACCTTCTGAATGGAGGGGTTTGGATTGCAATGTAATTGCTACAAGGTTTAGTTTTTCAGATTATAAGGTAAGGAAAGTTGAGAGATCGAAAAAATCCTGGTGGGTTTCTGAAAGTAGAAATCTTTACGATTAAAATGATGTATTGGTTTACGCAAAAATTTGGAAATTCCTTCTATTTAATGAATAAAACTTCATTTGCCTCGATTCCCTCCTCTGAGCGAGACAAAGCGCGCGGATTGACCACGGTCCACCACTTCTCCATGTTGGTGACTGCCATCATTGATCATTGATGAGCATTAAATTATGTGAAAGACATGATAGTTAATATGGGGGGTCGTACCGATACCCTCCGAAAAGGAAGGGGGTCGTAAAAATTTTGGAATTTGCGCAACGCAGGGTTGACCCTGCCTCCCCGGTCGGCTGCCACGTGACGCTGCGAGAAAAAGGCGGGCGCGGTTGCAGCAGCGGTGAAATTGCGGTCCAATGCCATGGGCTCACGGAGCAGCTGAGCTAGGTTCATGAAACTCGCCCAACACGTCCTCCTCTATCCAAGCTGAATGCGGCTGAAATAGAGGAGGTCCTTAATCGGGACGTGATCGGGATTTTCTCTGCTTCCTTTTTGTTCCTCCAGACCATTTCTCACCCCCAGCTTCATTGCTGAACGCCTTTCCACACCCATTTCATCACTAGGATTGCTTTAAAGCAACACTCCAAGACAGGTGAATATCGGTCAAGGAATTCGTTGACTGGGAGTCGTATTTGCCTCTGTGGAAGGCGGAGGGGGTCGTAATTTTCGGTATCAGTATCGAACGAGACGTGGTAACCAGATTTAGCAGAGGGGGAGGGGCGTCTTCCCACCTCTCTCATTAAAATCTCAATGCGTAAGGGAACGTAATAGGAATCATTCATTGCAGGTTCCACATCAAAGAAATCGAAATTCAATGTAAGGAAGAGAACCGAATTCAAAATGTAGAAATCAGTGAATGCACGCCTAGCCTTCTTGTCCATTTGCTTAGTAGCATGGACCGCGCAAAGACTCATAGCCATGGGGGCTGCGGAATTCCCATAGCCTCCAGGGCTACAGGACTCTGCTTGATCGATGGTACTAAGTACGGGCCGGAACGGCACTTGCGTTTTGACTGGAGGGCGGCCGAGCCTGGAACGGAGCCGTCAATGCTGTCAGAGAGGCGTTGAAAAGAGAGCAAGCAAGTGAGGCTGAGCCGTGATTATAAGAATTCCCACGTTTGATCACCGCTGAGAACACTTCGGTTTCTTATCATCATGCACACACAACACCTTTCAATTGACTTAAAATACGAGCGAAGACCGACGGCATGGCGTATACTCGACCGAAACTAAATGGCGCTGAGCGTATCTAGTTGTATCAGCGACAGCGAAGCGATGCGTACCTAAGGCATTTTGAGAGGTTTCAATGAATTTCCTAGCAATGATGTGGAAGGAATCCGGTTTTTGAGTGAAGAAAAAATTCCTCGACATTTTCCTCGACGCAGATTTCTCTTAAGTGGGAAGTTTTCGAAACAAGTCAGGCAACCATTTGAAAGAGCAAGACTTTCTGAAACTGTCCACACTTTTGCAATTTAGAAATAAGAAAGTTATCGTTTTGAAAACAGCAAAAATCCGCGTGAAACTCCGAGTTCCTGACTTTTCCTCGACGTGGAAAATATCACTGCATAGGGTATCTTCAGAGCAACTTCAAAGATAATAAAAGAAGAAGATAGTAATAAAAACTGCAATCGAAGCTAAGCACACAAACAATTCTCCAAAAGATCAAGTTTCGAAAAAGTTATTAAGGTTTGAAGCATAAGGGGAGAAGGCAAATTTTCGAGATAAATCGCTCCACCGCGTGAGCCGCGCCGCAGCCGCGTGAGGAATCAGCTGCCCCTTTAAATTCGGTGACACTTTCATTGTTAGGTCCTATTCATCATTTTTCTCCGTTCCTGTCGATCATCCTTCGTGTAACGTGTGTACACGTGAACAATCGCCGCTGTTACAATAGGAGAATGTTTTGTTTTTCAGGATTCCTTCGTTAATCGTAGCTTTCGCTCTCTAGCCGCTGGCTATCGGTGATTCTCCTAGTTTGTCATTGACACACAACTGCAAATGAATCGTTTTCAAGTTACTTCGCTTTCACCATCGCTTTGTTCTGCTTTTGATCGACGTTTTGATTTCGTGACTGATTTTTACGGAGGGGCCGTACCAAGGCCCCGCGTTTCAGGTGGGGGTCGTATCACAGTTGGGTTTTCCTCGACGCGATTTTCACCCTGCCTCCAGATCGATCTGGTGGAATAAAAGCGGTTGACAATAAAGCTGTAGATCCCCAGTTGATTGCGAATAAAAAAACAACGAAGAAAAGCGCCGATAAAGCCCTTAAACAAGGATTCCCACTTTCCCTTCCTGAAATGAGGGATAGGTGTTTCGAATGGTTTTTTTGAACTAGCTTGCAATTCTTGGTGGCTCGTGCCAGCACGAAGTGCAATGCAGTCGCATATGCATCATTTCAAACAAAGACACATGCACCAATATAAATAATAAGATACGATATCTGAACGATTCGCGCAAGTAAACCAATCTAAAACATTCACCATTTTTTTGAACGCGGTGCGGTTCAAGGCGATTGCGTAAGGACCTCGCAGCTAAGTTAACTCGTCCAAGAGCTAAAATTAGTGGCCGCAAGTCAACTTTGTAAGAGCATAGCGCCGTTGTCGTGCACTTCCGAACCGCGACAACGGCACATCTGCGCCACACATGGTCTACTCTATCCCACTCAATGAATAGATTCTTCGAGACGACTTCTGCCTGGGTATTGCATTAACACATTCACGACGACGCCCCTTTTCCACTTTTCGGTCGCGTGGGACGGACGCGATTTTGTGGGCGCCGCCGCCTCACCACATAACCGCAGATTTTGTTTTGTAAATGAACAAAAACATGAATGTCACAAAATAATTTCTGCAATGTCCAATGCGTAAAGATTATCTAAACATATAACAGTAGGATTTCGATCAGAACGACAAATAGTGGTTACGAAAAAGGCAGGCTCAACCTTCTCGAACAGTTCGAAACGTCAGGGTCGCATTTTGTCGAAAGGGGTCGCAATTCGAGACCGGCCAGCCAACAGGCGCGGCTGCGTACCGAGGCAAGACTTGCTTGTGCAGACCGCATTAGATTTAATTATGCACAGAGAGGCAGTTTTAGGCAAATTACGGTGTTTTCCTACGCAGTAAAGAAGTGTTGAATGCATCCTTATGAAAGGTTTGACTTCTCGGGGCTGAAAATAAAGTTCTTCAAAGACCTAATTTTTTGGGGCGCTTCTTCTAGAGAACTGTAATATACATGAGTAAGCGTAAATCTCGTAGTCTTCAAAAATGTCTTCGTCCCTCCCCAGCAAGCTTTTGAAGGAAGTTATTATTGCTGAAAGCTCAACTCGCATGTGCTGCTCAAAACCTATGGGAACCAAAGGTTCGAGCGTGTGATTTTCTCGGAAAATGGATTTTGAAAAACGCCTTAGCGCTTGTTAGAAAAAGCAAATCCAGTACTTTCACCCACATGAAAAAAGTGCATCACAGAAATGAAAATGAAGTGAGTTATGGTCGCTGAAAGCCCAAAAACTCGCTTTTGGAAAATGTTCGAACGGGACAATTTTTGAAAAAGGGGACAATCACTAAACTTTTTATACTGTTTTGTTAGAGAAATATTTGAAGTTTCTGAAACTTTTTACAGCTTTCCAAAATGTCGCATACGAAAGATTTTATGGGCCTTCAAAGTTGAAGGTGCGCCTTCTTAGAATTTTGGGTTTTCCACTTCTAACAGAAGTACTTTCCGGAGAGTTAGGCAATCCTTGTAGTTTTCTGAAAGCGCACCTCAGGCACAGTCAAAATCTACCTCAACAAGTCAAAAAAGTACGTCCCAAGAAAGTTATTCCCCTCTAAAATTTTTTCTTCGCCGCGTCCCGTTCTTCCAGCGCCCGGGTGATACCTGCCGCGCTCCAAGGCTGACGCCGACGACGCGCAGACGCTTTCTGGCGCAACGGATTCATGTCTAGCACTCTTATTAACAAAAACAGGGGGTCGCAACTGGACCCCCTCGAGAGCTAGGGGGTCGAAAATGTTCGAACGTGACGGTTGACCCTGGTTGGCAGCCCATATGGGCGGCCGTCGGCGTGAATGTGTTGAGGGAGCGTACTATCATTCACATATAATAAATATTTATTGTGAGCAAAGATATAATATAATTTGAAAATGCACAAGGTTCCAAAAATGTATGCAAAAATGACATTCGGCTGAGATATATAGCTAAAAAGAAGTTCGATATCAGCGATAATCCCTTGGGAAAAAAAGTCCACTCTAAAGCCCACCCGATAGGTATGCTAAGCATGAATGTCAACACTGGTACTATTGGAAATGAGCGTTTGAATACTCGCACCGCCACATGAAAATAAATACAGCATATCTCTAGTTGGAAGAATATATCAGCATTCATCGGCTATCCGCTGAATGACTCCATTCACCACCTGTAAGCGATCCTTGTGACTCTCAGCACCGATGAAAAGCCGGCAAAGGAAGGAGTGAGTCATAACACTGCCGTCGGCCCGTGCAAATTTAATTCGAGCCGCTTTACAATGATTCGTCAGCCGCCATGCACCAATCACGGGCTCTATCCAGCCATGCCCACAGCGACTCTGCAATCAATAAGCATCAAAAAATGAGTAGCGAAAGCTGCAAACAAAACAGTTCATTTTCATCTAGATAATCAGGAAACTGAAATGCTTACCAACTTCGCTGGCAAAACTCGTGCCGTCTAAGTAATGGGAGTCCTCATTAGACAAAATTTCCAAAGTAGGCTGCAGAAAGGGCACAACAGTAGAATAGTTGTGAACCTCGAGTTTCTCTCCTCTCACTAATGATTCGTTGATACTTTTGAGAGTTGCATACTCGCTTTTGGCATGAACATCGAGAGAATTCCACAACCATGTCAGGGAAGTAAGCTGAAACGTAGCGCTGATATATTGAAATGAATCTCAAAGAATCAATTTTATTGGAAGGTAATGTTTTCGTGATCCCCCTGAGTGAAGCTACAGGCACTACCAACTAATTAAAAGCGATACGCGTAAACTGTGTCTATGATCGGTGAATCATTCAGATCCACTAATCGCAGACGGACCAGACACCCACTGCACGCCTAACGAAAAACTTTGTGGCAACGCTTAATATTATCGTTGCTCCATTTATGTGAGAGTTTTCTCATTCGTCAAACAATTCGTGACTGAGTTTAATTGAGCCTCAAACTCACCGCCTTTTCCAAGAGTGCGCCAGCAATACATGCACATGCAAACGCGTCTCCATTTCGTGCTAATGAGACACCAATGTGAATCCATTTTTTAAGAACGAGATGTGCATCCTTGCGAGACCCAGAGAGTATCGACAGAAGACAGGAAAAGTGCAGCATACTACTCCTTAAATAACAAAATTTCCGATAATTCTAAAGAAAGAAAGCGGTTGACAGCTCTAGTACCTTTCAATTAATTGACGTCGTAGAGATGATCCACTCGGAAGTAAAACTAGACGTAGACCATTGTTCGTCTTGCAGTTGACCTGCTTGAATGCGAAATATTTGAAAGTTTAGTCACACGTATTTGACATTCTTCGGCCCAGATATCTATTAGCTCTACTCATTTAAACATGTGGAAGGTTTCATTTGAATAAGAAGATAGGCAAAAAAGCTAATATTAGGTTGTAGGGAAAGTCCTTGCGGTTTTCAAAAAATCTTTTTTTAACCTGCTAAACGCCTGCCAGCAACTTGGCTCGTGCATATATAAGGAGAACATATATGTGCAAATTCAGTATAATTATTAGCTATTACTTGTTACTATACGGGTTGATATTTGGCGAATCAGCAGCCTAATCCAGACGTCGCATTGATGCTGCGTGTGGAGAACGTAGGGTATCCGAATGCGCTGCACAAGGTTGGTCTGAACGCTTCCGCGAGGGAGACTCCAAGCTTGAAAGTTCCACTTGATCGGGACGTGAACTCGAAGTCGACAATGATCGTTTGCGTAAGCTGGTGTGGGCAGACCCAAGGCAAACTGCGCGTGAAGTTGCATAAGTCTCAGGTGTATCCTTTAGCATCACTGCCGGTCACCTGCATCAGTTGGGAAAGGTGCACAATCTGGGACAATGCGTACCCCACAGCTGAAGTCCGTCGTCACACAGGATGAGAAGAGCTGTCTGTAGGTCAACATCAAGGCCCGCCGACGCTGGGTTGACAAGGGTGACCAGCCTGAGCCGCAACAGAAGGCAGGTGTTCACCCTCTGAAGGTTATGATCTGTTTTTGGTGAGACTGCTAAGGCATTATCCATTACGAGCTACTGCCGCGCTGCGCTACTCTCGCGGTGGACTTGTGCTATTAGGAGCTGGATAGAATGGCCACCGAGATCGCAAAGAAGCATGGAAATTGCGGCATGATATTATTCTTGCACGACAACGTTTGTCCACGCACTAAAACAGTGACCCGACAGAAGCGACTCGACTCTGGGTGGAAAAGGGGAAGCAACCCACTGTACAGCCAGGATACTGATCCAACAGAATACCACCTTTCCCTTTCGCTATCGAATGCCATACAAGGGAAAACGTCCGAAGATGAAGATGACATAGATCGCGGGTTGAGTAATTTTTTCGAGTCGAACTCAGGGCAGTTCCTTGATAAAGGCAGTCGAAGTCTGCCCAAAAAATGGCAAACAGCGATAGAGATGTGATGGTGAATTAGCTTGTATCCTCATGTGTTTTGTTTCCTTCAAAAAGTCAGAAAAACCATAAGTGTCGAAAACCGCAAAGACTTTTCCTACGACCTATATATTTTAATGTTAAGTCAAGCAGATCTTGCTCTTGACCCGATTCCAGCGTCCAGAAAACACTGTACACTGAAGAGCTTTTTCTTCCGACAAGTATAGAAAAAGTAGCCTTGATGTCAATATCGCTGATCAACGAATTATCGTAGCACTTGCCAAGGAATCGTGTCTTCAGTTGGCCAAAACAGCTGAGCTCGCACGTCTGCATCCACCTTGACTTCGGTCACTATGGTTTTTTTTTGTGATTTTGATTGTTTTCTTCCTCAGCTATGTAAGCAAGTTCTGGGGACACCGTTACCTAGTGTCTCTGGTTTTGCAACAAACGCAAGCAAGAGCGAGCTCTACGCTTCAACTTTCCCACATTTCTCTAGATGTCTCCACATGTTGACCATGAGAACCACCTTAATATACATGACGGCGTCACACTTTCCATCACATTCAGACATTGGATCTGTTCCCTGAGATTCACAATACAATATACAGCTGCTGTTGAGCGGTGTGAAGCTGTGCTTTCATTTTTAACCACTCTGCTATCCTGCTACACTCACCTTTTTCAGTATTTGAGGTCAAAAATATTGGGTTAACACGCTTTATGCATCAGTGATAACTGACCCCTTTTAAACAAGTTGGATTTCCATCGCTTCTTCCACCTTCAGATTTAGATTGAGTCTTCTTCTCCTCCTTCAGCTTTTCCCGTTTGGCAGCCTGATGCGCTTTTCTGTTGTATTAGACTTTGCCGGCGGTTGAATGCCTAATGGGAACGCATAGCACTAACTGCGAGTCTACATGCAGCGTATCAGTCCACAGCTGCATTGGGCTTCTCTTAGGCTGCTTCTCGGGCAGGTCTACGTTGCTGGGGTCGATCTCATGGACACTGTTCACTTCCTTCAAGAACGTACACCTTAAGTGCCTCCGCCTCGAACCGCGGGTTTCGCCCAGGTTAGGTCTCAGCATAAGGGGAGAGCAGAGGGATTGCCAGATGTGCGGATTGTAGTGAGCAGTGAGGGTGATAAGTGCACCTACGTCAAGGATCTTGAGTGTAGCTTACAGAACGCTCGAGCGATGTCTCTTGAGGTTGAATCGATTCACTAAATATCGAGCTACACTCCGTAGCATAGATGTACGCAGAATGTCCCGTCTCCGCGATCTTGTGGAATATATAGCAAACACCAAGCTACGATGGGCTCGTCACATAATGAGGAGAGGTGGACAAGAAAAACGGCAGAATGGGTTTCTGTAGGATTTTCGCGGTCCAAAGAACCTGCTGCGAAATCTGGGAATCACCTGTATCACCTGTCGTCCCGTTGATCGTCGATTTGCTCGAGCGGGCGCCAGCAACGTCTCCATTCGTCCCTGTCGCGTGCTAGGGTGGTCCAGTGGATCCTCCTTGCTCGAGGGACACACGAAGTCCATCATTCCTTTCGTTCAGAGCTTTCGTGAAGAAGTCTGACCATCGGGCCGGCGGTCGTCCAGGTGTTCGTTTGACGTCCCGAGGGATCCAGTCGGTAACCGCTCTGGTCCAACGGTCATCGCAAAATCGCATGACGTGTCCGGCCCACCTTATCTTCGATTCCTTGGCGAAAACGGCAGCGTCCCTGATCTTCGATCGTTGGCGTAGTTCGGCACTCCGGATTCCCCTCTGCACTTGCGTGTATAGGGTTACTCCTAGCATCGTCCTCTCGACAGCGCGTTGGATAACGCTGACCGCATGCTCGTCCTGCGTCGCGTCGCTCTCTGAGGCGTAGGTTAGGGCAGGAAGGACAGCGGAATCGAAGAGGTGGGCACGGAGCCGGATGTTCTTCGTCTTCTTCACTACTCCCTCGATGTTCTTGTACGCTCCCCAAGCCGCTCGTTTCCTCCTGCTCAGCTCTGGAGCTAGATCGTTCATCATATTGATTTCCCGACCTAGGTACACGTAGCTGGAGCATTCGGTGATGTTCGTTCCGTTGAGCGTGAATGGGGCATCAGGAACCAATCCGTTTCTCATAAACATCGTCTTCGTTAGGTTCAGCTGTAGACCAACCTTACCACAGACCACAGGCGCGTAATGGCTCGCAGTCGAAATCAGCCAGCATTCGCTCCGCTTGCTCGATGTTCGGCGTTATAAGAACGATGTCGTCAGCAAAACGAAGGTGGTGTAGTTGCCGGCCGTCGACCTTCACTCCCATGTCTTCCCATTCCAGTTGACGCATGACGTTCTCGAGAGCGGCGCTGAAGAGTTTGGGCGAGATGGTGTCGCCCTGTCGGACCCCTCTCTTGACGTCGATGATGACCTCCTTGTAGAATGGTGAGATTCTGGTCGTAAAGTTGCTGTAGAGCTCACGAAGAATCTTGATGTACTGAGTAGGGACGCCCTGGTTGCCCAAGGCTTCGATGACCGCTTCTGTCTCCACAGAGTCGAAGGCCTTCTTCAAGTCGATGAACGTGAGACAAAGCGGCATCTTGTACTCTCGTGAAACTTCAATGAGTCTCGTAACCGTGTGGATATGGTCGATCGTGCTGAACCCTCTTCGGAACCCCATATAAGCAGTTGCGGATGCAGCTGAAAAGTTTCAGATCGCCCGTCTACTTCGGCCGCTTCATGGCAAGGCGACTGCGAAAGGAAGAAACGAATAGTTTGTTGCTGATGCTCGCAAATGAACTGAGGACGAGCTATATAAGTATAAGTGAAATGTAGTGGCGAAAATCTCCCGAATTGCTCATGCCATTGCTTAACTGCCCTCTTTCTCATTGACACAGTAGTCTGTTCGTACATTTAAAGGAATCTTGCGCGGAAAAATCATGATTCTATTTCAGCCATAAATCACTGGCTTGAGACTCATTATCCACGATAATAGTGAAAAGAACTGAAGTATTGCTTTCGTTTTGATTAGAAATTCGAAAACTCGAAAAGGCTGCTACGCGTTCGAATTGCCCACGGACGTCTTTCACGAATGCTGGCGACGGGGATGCTCAAACTTGGTTCTTGGAGTGCATTCACTAGAAGCTCTTTCTGGCCTTCTGCTTCGTTGCATTCACATCTTACACTTCTACTCCATCCTATTCCATCGATCGATTTGTCTCCACTCTCCGAAATCGCGCGCTTTAACCCGATTCTCTCATTGCGTCGCCTGGTACGTAGCCGGCCAAACGCCGTCTTCTTTCCATGCCTCGCCTGGCTCTGCCTCCTGGTCCTTCGATGGTCCATAACGTGTAGTTTTTGTACGTTTGTTTCTCTTCAGAAACCGAATCTTCATGCGTGAAACTTTGTGTGCTATTTCCAGTGATCACAACTGACATATTCATGTTAGGAAAGAGTGCAAGAATTTTCCGCGCAAGATTCCTTTAATAGATCATCTTACCTGATCACACTATAGCGGCTCTTAGGACCTAGAGATCGGTTTATTTGTTTTAGACACCTAACATGTATCAAAAAAAAATCCGATCGCATAGGCCTTGTGGTAATCTCACCGAGCCAAAGATGGAGAGCTTGATGTTTTACAAAACGCTTTGATAACAGACAGATTCTACGTCTAACGTTGTATGAGTTCCGAAAGCATTAAAACTTTGCGAGGAAGTACCAAAGCGAGGGATTACGATAAGATTGGGTGGGTTTATAGTGGAAGTGGGGATGCTGAATAATGCCCCAGTGGCGAAAAAAGCAAAGAAATCCGTCAAGAAGGCGCAAAATGGGACCCCTTTCTTTGCCCGTTGACCTCCGATAATGGACGAGCTAGCAAACTAAGAGGTCGTTTGCACATGTTAAACCGATAGTCATAATCACAAAGACCATAATTTGATTGATAACGCATTCCATGGGAAAGTCACATGAAACGTGCTCGAAATGGAATGCCTTGTCAAAATTATAGCACAGAACGATAGAAGGATTAGCAAGCTCAGCATGCTGCAATTTTGCACTTTCGGCCACAAAAAGACCTCTCTTCCTTCGGCCCCTGACTACTGCTCCTACAGGTGCATGTGCACGCACTTTGTCGTAATCTCTCGCTTTACGAAAAGGGAATGTTATGCTTCTTTTTACAATTCGGGAAACACTAGACGGATGCAGAAGGAAACGCTGTCCTTCGTCTTTCTTACTGGCTACGAAATGACCCTCATTTGAGATAGCGAATTTCTAGAAATGAGCGCATGTACCTCGACAGGAGATTCAAAGAATTGAAGTGTTTTAGCGTGCTCATGCGATATCGCCAGTGCGATCTCATCTGCTTGTTTCGCCAGTAGAAACTGCTTCAGTTGCATGAGATGCACTTGCGACAAAGATGCGTGGTGCTCATCTGGCGGAGATGGAGAGCTGAAATGACAGTGGTACAACAATGCAGGTGGAAGATGCTTTCAATCATCACATACCTGTAGATTCCGGAATCTCTTGAATCTCTGGCACCATTATCGGCACTATCACAATCACTTGAACCGCTGAAACGATTCCTCTCGAGATCAGAGCTGCATGGTCTCGACGGTCGTATCTGGAAACGCAGCAATCTCTCTGAGTGACAAAATTGTGCTGAGTATTACTCGTTGGTAAAAGAAGTTGAAATGGGCAAAACATTTGGATTCGATCAAACCGTTTCTGGAACATGCCGCGCGTTTGATTTTCGTTCAAAATCGTAGAATTGGAAAGCTGAGCAGACTGACTGGCCCGGACATTACTGGGTTGGTGGAGATTTGATCCTAAGATCATGCTCTTGGTTAAAAGTAGAGCATTTTCAACTACACCCACTCCCGACAGCCTGGTCAGGCATTTATAAAGTACAAGCTAACTATTGCCCCCATTTCAAAGGATCTCGAAGGCGATAAATATCGAGGCCATTCAGGAGACGAGCAAATTCCATAACTTCTTTGTGACACATCGAGCTGAGCTCTCAATTCGGACCTATCAATGTTTAGAAGTGCAGGGCAGATTCTACAAGTGACTGTTATCTCGTGCTTAATGCTACATGAGCAGGCTACTTTGGACAGGCTATATGTGCAAATGGACAAAAAACCGTGTTACAGTTATCCATAGGCCCTATACTTTCGACTAAGGTAGCCCGCAATAAATACTAGACATTACGCGCCACATCCTGCACCACGCGCGTGCGACCAGTGCACATAAATATTGACAATTGCCGTCACAATGTGATCACCTGAAATCAAATTCGACTTCAGTACTAATCAGTTATTTTCTCGATTGGCATTTTTTGCACTCATTTTTCATATGATTCTGAACATGCAATAGAAGATTAGGCCCCTCGACGAGTGCGTCACTTTGCCGCTCATCGCGGCCTTGCTTTAGTCTGGAGTTAGTCCAGGTTCGGAATTGACTAGGGTGTGCGACATTGGGCTCACGGCAAAGCATGTCGCGACGTTTGGAAGTGACGTTCAGTCCCTATTGAGGTACCCACCTTATCGTAATCATCATCAGAGAGCTTCGTTCGAGGTTCATCATAGTCGACAAAAGCGCTGTCCCTCGCGTCCTCGGATTGAGAGTGCTCGACTTCAACTTCGTCGACACCTGTGCTCTGAAAGAGAAAATTGGTAAAAGTGAAAAGCGCAGCCAACCGCACAGCGGTAAATATTGAAGGTTTACCGTGTCCATTTTGAAGTTCGGACGTGGAGGCAATGGAGGCCGCACTGGAAGAGGTGGAGGGATTTTCGCTGCCACCGTGAATGGGGAATGTGAACGGTAGCTGAGATTCTGGCATGATTGAAACTGCCGTGACATTACATCTGCAATGTTTTGAGTTATTCAAGATGTTTCGAAGATATTTCAGCAGCAATTAAAAGGATACGTACTCGGAATAGAGCTCGTGCTAGAACTTCTTGCTCGATCAGTGCTTGACAGCGAAGACGCATCTAATATCCCGTCCATGGCGTCGTAATCCATTTCTGAGTACTGTAACAAGCAAAGGTCATAAAAGCGTGCCTTAACAGGTTGTGGTGTATCGTTTCTGTAATGTAACTCCCCTAATTGAATGGATCTAAATTTTGACTTGTTGTTGTTTGTTAACTGCTGTTTTTGGAAGTTTGTTCACAACCCAGCATTCTTGTAAATGGATAGAGTCTAGACGTGGTTTGTGGCTGCCATAATAAGGAAATATGTGTTACCACGTCGACCAGTATAAAATGAACAAGCGAAACTGCTAAAACCTTCGGAAGCACGCACACTGCACCCTGGTCGCGTACGCGGGGGCCGATGTCTTGTGAAATTGTGCCGGGCTCTTTAGCTGGCCTTTCTTCTTGACATGGAAATAGGAGAGGCCAATATGAGAAGTCCGTAAGCTACATTGATCACTGCTTTTTTTGGACAAAGCCAAAGCAATCGCGGGTGTGTCTTCTGTCATCAACACCGCCCTGTATTCTGGCGATCTTTCAGGTTTCTCCCTCATTTTCTGGATGCTAGACCGATTTTGTCTAGAAATGGATTTATACTATTCCTGGCAGTAAGAAACTTACATCTTCTTCGTCATCTTGAGTATTCCTCGGAGATCGGATAGGCAGGGGGAGTGGGGGGTTTACCAGGGCGGGCGGGACAGGG